GCAAGTTGTCATCATCATCATCATCATCATCATCATCATCATCATCATCATCATCATCATCATCATCATCATCATCATCATCATCATCATCATCATCATCATCATCATCATCATCATGTTTTCAGAGCTCATTTTTCGCATAATACTTTTTAGCCGTCCAACTTTGATTTGTTATATGATGAATGCAATTTGCCTGATATTGCATTGTTATAAATAACCTCATTAGGCTGATTGAAGTTTCACTCATGTTTTGAGCAATATATACATCAAACTACTAATAAACTGAAATAAAAGCTATGTGATATGTACAAACATTATGAAAATTGATGTGTGACTGAGAAAATACTGTTAATACCTGAAAAATAATGACATCCGTTATCCTCGGTAATATGTAACCTGTGCGCGAGAACCCGTAGCCGAGTTTCTTCACCATCGCTATCTGAATTCAGTGTTATTTTATCTTTACAACTAATTTCATTTACGAATCTAATTAAAACACATAGTTTAACTGATTTTTGACAATATAATAACATAGAAAATCGAATCAGAATGTAATCACGTGAAAGAAAACGTGATAAACTACAGTAAAATATCTTTCAAAAAATCTTTTTTTTTTCAAATTAACAGTTATGTATTTATTACTGTCTAACTTATTATAGCTGTGAGAATAATTTCTGTAATGAAAATAAAAATGATAATGGAATGTATCAAAGTTCATATGTATATATGTGCATATGTATGGATGAATGGATGTGTATGGGGAGGAAATTTAAAAATTAATTATCCTACATTGTCGAACACAAAAATAAATGTCATTCAAATCGATGTCTTTCTTTATTCAATTTAAGTTCATGCTGCTCATCCGTTTTTTCACACTGAACACACATATCAATGCTGAGGTGAAAAATTGAATTTATAATTTGCCGATAAGCTTAAGGAATAATTAAGGTTAAAGTTAATTAAGCATTTCAAGATTACTATTACATGTTCGAAAATAGGTTTAATTATCTAAAGCTATTGACTGTAGATAATACAGAAATAAATTAATTGTTGAAAATGATAATTATATGTAGAAAAATGATATACATCGTTTGGATTTTGGCTGAATTGATATAGAACTTTATATTAGAAGACTAGCTAAACATTAACAAGTAATTAGTAATGTGAATTTAGCACAAGGAAATTGATAGTTTGTACTGTGGAACCGATTCAACACCGATTCAACACAATACGTACTGGTTTCGAAAGTATTCAAACATGCCTTTTTGTTCACTACCGAAGCTACATTCATTAAACCAGTACTAAAATAGTTTTGTTACTACCTCAACCCATTCTTAATCTTAAGAATAATGACATTTTATAAGAACTTTCGTTTAAATTTAAAACGAGTAGTTTTACAAATATTTTGAGCCAAGTTGATGAAGGGCATTGAAAATGAATATATATGTAGACAAAAATCTCGGAGATTGAAAATTATAAAAGTCCAACGTTTCGCTTCCCAGTCTGATCTCAACCTCTTCACGGAAAGGATTAAATATTAAATTACCGAGTATAAATAGGTACATGAAATAATTGTGTACTAACCGGGTGTCCAATAATTTTTAAGAAGTTAGAATTCAGAATGTTCTTGAAATTCGAGTGTGAATATGAGTCACAGGAATGGAATGTATTAAAAATAGAAATTTGTGTATGCTATATACATATAAATTTAGTATGCAAGTCGTCGAACACAGTATATGGTCGCAAGTGGAATTAATTCATTCGATAGGTATCAACCATCTTTGTTTAGAATGCTTGTGAATTAAGGCAATATCGAGGCTGTCCGCACAGGATGCACATATGCCAATAAGAGACTGATCAATTACAGTCCTAAACATCAATGGGAAGATTCAAACAAACAATACCAAATGAATTCGTTTGATGGTTAGTCAAAATTGTCATGAAATGCATCGAATACAAATAAACGGAAAATGGCATAATTATATCATGCTAAACAGACCGACTATTCATGGTAAATTCAAACATAATAACTATTTATAATAAATAAAAACCCATCGTTTCTGTCCACAAGGCGAGTTGGAGAAGCAGTAGTAAAATAAATAAATTTCTTCTTCGTAGTTGACCTCGCGGAATGATCTTACCTAAACAATCGTTAAAATCAAAGAAGCATTGGACAACTGTTTCACGACCCCACCATCAGTTTCGTTTTAGACCACTATTTAATCATTATTAACCAGCTATCATAGTGAATTTAATTATACTGCATCCCTTCTGTCTAGATTGTTGTTTTTCCCAGATCTGTTAGGCTATATCCTTCGTTCTTTCTTTGTAAGCACTAAAAATGTTATATTATCGAGGTCAGTTATATGTATTTAGCTCTATCTGTGATCTATCTTCAAGTCTTTTTATTTCTGATGATTTGGAAAAATGTTCCAAACATAGTTTGTGCTTCTTCAGACTAATACTCGACTGTCATGTTATCACTTACATAAATAGTATTGTAGTCACTACATTCTTTATCATAGACTCTATTCCATACAGTAGCTGCTACTTTGATGCGGTGGTCAGGCTTGCCTATCGTGATGACCCAACCGAGCTATATTGGCTAGAACACATGTTCTGTAGGTCCGACCATGCCAGGCAGGTCGATTGGAGAACGGTAACATTAAAAGCAGCAACTCAAGGTCTAAAGGCGAAGTCTTACTGCTGGCTGTGAAGGGATGTGACAGCAGTAAGATGTTTCCCTCGGACAACCAGCATCTGCAGCGATGCTGCCTTCTCACAAGGATGGGTGGGGTTGGAAAAGGTCGACTCAAAAAATGCACACCTCATCTTATCCCACAGATTTCCGTCTCCGGCGGTAAGGCCGTTTGAAGAACGGAGCTAACACATTAAAAACCTCCCACAAAAGACTGTGCGCGACCGGCCTCAAGCAGTTGTCCCTTGGGCTCTGCGGTCACACTCCCAGGTCACTAAGGCCAACATTGATCCAACTTCCTTTTCAGGTTCCTCAAGAAATACCCTTCCACAGTGTGGGCAGCCAGGAAGTGATATCAGCTCTCATACCCGTAACAGCACGCGAGACCAAGTTAGTCACATTCAAATCCCTCCTACACCTCCTAATACCTCTCTTATCTCCCCGACTAACCCTTCTCACGTCCCTTTATCACCTCGCACCGCTAGGGCAAACGATTCGAGTACGCGGAACGTTATTCCTGGTCTCCTGAAACAGCGCTCTAAACTTCATGTTGGAGCTTATAACGTCCGAACACTGTGCCAAATAGGACAACAGGCTTCCTTAGCTAGGACTTTAGAATCTCGCGCCATCGGTGTCTGCTGCGTCTCCGAAACGCGCATACAGGATCCGAGTAGTGTCACTCATTTGACCTCACCATATCAAAGTAACGAGCCAACTCGATTCACGCTTCGTGTATCTGGAAGCCCTGATGCTGCTTCCCGTGGCCTCGCTGGCGTAGGTATAGCATTGAGTCCTAGGGCAGAACTAGCTCTCTTAGAGTGGATCCCAGTGGACAGTAGTTTATGCGCTGTCCGACTAAACGGAACAGTAAGGACTCGGAAAGATAGGGACACTCGTCGTTGCCTCTGCCTATTCTCTCACTGACTGCAGCTCAGACGATGTAAAAGATGAGTTTTACAGAAAGCTTTCCGACCTTCTCCGAAAATCTAGGTGCTCTGATGTAGTAATAGTGGATGGTGACTTTAATGCTCAAGTAGGTAAACTGAGCGAAAGGAAAAGACACATGAGTGGATCTTATGGTGTCGCGGCTCAATGAACAGATAATGACGACTGTCTGTTGCAGCTATGCTCAGATAACCGCCTGTTTCTATCAAATCCTAACGTTAAGCACAAAGAAAGACACCTATTGACATGGCCACCCCCGAATTCGTCCCAAAGTTGGAGACAAATAGATCACATCGCTATCGGCCACCGATGGAGGGTCTCGTTCTGGAGCACATGCTCAGATTCAAATCACTGTCTAATGCGGTCGCTTATTTGTCTGCGTCCCACTGGACGTAGGAAAGACGCTGCAATGAAACCTCTTAGGGCTCTTGTTGTGTCTTTATGGCCCGTTAGTTATCACGAAATCTATTCACCAATCAAAATACGACTTATTCGCTCTTATACTGTACTAAACCAATGACGTCCGACCGGTCTGATCAGACTGGCGTCCTATTGGTTCTTTGCTCGCCTAGCACGTTCAGCTGAGTTCGGAATGCCAACAACAGCCTCCACTATGCGAATCATATATTTCAAACATACTGGGTTTATATATCAATCAAACAGACCGCAATCCATCATAAAATAATAAATAGCATTCATACACAAAGCCGAAATGTGTCTGTGAATGTTGGAGACCGTAATTAATAAACTGAGTATAATTTAAGAACAGTAAATCATATAATAATAAATTGTGTGTCAAAATGAAGCTTATAATAAGGGGAATATAGATATACACAATCTAACTATTGGATAGTTATACCACAAGAATATATAGATAATATTAGTCAATTAATATGTCTCAGAAGTTACTCGTAATGTAATCTTCGCTAGGATATAACAGCCCTACTTAATGACAGCCAACCTAACAATGTATTTCAGAAACAACTAGAAAAACAGTTAGGCAACCATGTGAGTGATGTCCTTCCTCAGGCGGTCTGAGATGATGTCCGAAAAGATGTGAAAACAGCAGTGATATCTGCAAGTACGGTAAACCATAAAGTTAGGGAGAAACACTGGATCTCAGCAGCATCTACCACTGTGATAGATGCTCAAAAACCCATTCCATCTGGCTCTGAGCATAACGAAGATCAGAGTCAGCTTAAGCGCAAGCTGACAAGAAGCCTACGCAATGATCGTAAACAGTGATGGGTAGCGAAAGCAAGACAGATGGAAAAGGCAGCGGCAATAGGTAACACCAGACAACTGTTCAGACTTGTTAAGGAAACCGGTATTAGGAGCCCGACTGTTAGCGAAACTATCTAGAAAAAAAAATGGACATATCATTCATTCTCAATCCAGGAGATTGGATCGATGGGCAGAACACTTTAGGGATCAGTTCAACTGGCCTTCAGCCACACTTCGGTTTCCCACGATCTCCAGTCAACCTGAATGGCAAGTTGA